CGAGAAGGCGACGAAACGAAGGCTATTTGAATTTATTTCAGAGGCTTCATTTAGGCTTGAGGATCTTCAACATGCAGTAAATCTACTAACATGGGACAGCCGGCTTTACTTCCGCTCCGAAGGAAGGCGTACGGAGGATTTTTTCGCCCTTAAAAATCCACGGCTTCGATCGGGTTTCAACCCACCAGTGCGTTCTTTTTTGGAAGTGATGTAGCAAGTAAAAGTCATCGGTGGTGCTACAAGTACCCGCAATCCAACTCAAGACAAAAGTGGATTTTAGAGTACTCCGTTCCAAGAGAAGTAAAGAGGAAAACAGCGTATGTGATTAACCACGTGGCCGTGAAGGTCATACCTTTGTCCCTGATAGCTTCTACGTAAAATTGACTCATGCAAGTGGAAGGCCGAGAAGTACCGACCGGCCTGCGGCTTGTATCGGAGAAGACTTATCAGAAATTGACATTGAATGGAAATACCATTTGAATAAATGGCTCGATCGGCGATTCTATTTAGAGGAAATACAGTGCATCGTTGATTTGTCAATGTTTTTATTGGTAGTCAGAATTAATATAACGTGGCAACTACATACCTTAACATTCGAAATGAATATTAAATATTCCATTAGATATTTCATTTTTTCCTAATTCAGGTTGTTTAAAATTAAGATTTCCGTGTGATTTACGTCTACGTTTGTACTAAGCGTAGTACCGGGATCTTTGTGCGGGCACGCTCCTCTGTTGCTCGCTGAAGAGTCGGTTGACAAATGACGACAGAGGACACGCAGTGCGTGATGTTCGTGTACGTTAAGTGAGGCTCGAATTTCAAAGAACATGTAAAGAAATTAGTTGTAACCGAAATTCAATGAAATTGATAGAAATGCCCTTCATTTTTGAGTGTTTTTAAAGAGATCCTCTGGTCAAAGTATTATTTATCTTCTGAAATGTTTCATTACACTTTGTACGACCACATTTGTGTTATCTATCCTCGGGTTTCTGCTCTTTTCTGACCCTTGCTATGGATGGAGGTTTATAAAAGACTTAACTCGTAATAGAAAGTTCTGAAAGAGAGAGCGTAGGCTTCCGCGGCCGGAGTCAGTATTAACTAGGCTGTCCGGGTAACGCGGTGTCAGAAAGAGTTCATGCGATCTACTTAAAAAATAATTCGGGCCCAAAATTCGAGTTACTATAGAACGCAGTTGTTCCCACAAACGTAGGTAGCAGGTAACGTTTCTGAGTTATGTGCGATTATAATGTATGTCGCAGTCATTTGCTTTGTATCATAAGCTGCAAACTTTATTTTCAGCTTAAATCTGTTGAATGCAGGACTAGGGTATATAATTCCATACCGAACAGTGGCACACTTACAAGATTTTGTGTCGATGGTTATATACGGGAACTAAGATAATTGCAATTAAATTTGTAATATTAAATACTTTCAATGCTATCTAAATATATTATGTAAAGTACATTTACTGTATTCATGTATATATATATATATATATATATATATATATATATATATATATACTGAATTGACAATTAGTAGCAAAATAGTACTAAGCAAGTTCAGGTTTAAAATAGTCGTGGGTACGTATTTTGGTGTTCTAGTACCGTAAGTGCTGGGTCTGCTTCTACACTGTAATGCAAAACTGCGTGCTATGGCATGTAACCTTCCGACTCTTGCTCCAAATCACTCGTGTTCTCCATCCTTCCACTAGTTTATTCACGATGAACCGGTGAAATTTGTAGTCAGAAATCCCTGTGCTGAAGTAATGATATCCATTTAGTTCCCGCTACTGATAACATTCTGATATAAAAATGGTGAACATTTTCTTGAAACAAAAACTGCTGTTTTTTTAGTAACGTGCGTCACAAGTTCCTATCTGAAGGTAGGCGGAGCGGCAAATGATAGATTAATGACTCCAGGATTAGGTAATTAGTTCCATAAGTGAAGTGCATGTTTTTAATCGCGAGAGGTAGCGATGATCTTCAAGGGGGGTGGCAAGATCCGAGGGTTTGCGAGATTTCCCCAACCAGGTATTTTCCAACAGTGGGACACCGCTCCAGCCGTACAAGTTCTAAGCTCTCAACTGGTTTCGTGGCACGTGTGGTAGTGTAGTTCATGTAAGTGTAAGTGTGTGTAATAAAGGGTAACGATAGGACAAGGAACAGGAAGGAAAGATCGCGCGCCCTAGCGTTAGAGTAGCGCTTCGATATTCACTTGGTGCTTATCGCAGAAACCACGAAAAGCTACCGAACAGAAGAGCGCGCCGGTAGAATTCAGAATTCACCTCCCGACAACGGCTGAATTCGACCTAGCTATCAAACCCTAGCTCCCCCGATCAGAGGCACTATTGTGACATCAATTTATGAGCCACCTCAACTTGTGCGGGGCGGCGAAGCGCAGGGAAACACCAAGGGTGCTTTTATAGTTTTCTCCCCTCCTCTCTACCTGTATGACATGTATAGAAGCAGTGAGGCAACGCCGAGTCCTTTTTTGCGCAAGTCACTGGAGCCCGGGTGCGTCGAGGGCGGCCAAGTACGCGGAAGCGCGGGTGTTTCTATGTGTTTGTCCTTGCCTGTCTACCTGTTTGACCTATATAGAACGGCAGCGAGGCAACGCCGAGTGGTCCTTTGCGCAGGTGCCTGGTGCCCGGGTGCGACGAGGGCGGCGGGGCGGCCAAGTACGCGGAGGCCTAGACTATTCCTATATGTTTGTTCTTGCCTGTCTACCTTTTTGACCTATATAGAACGGCAGCGAGGCAACGTCGAGTGATCCTTTGCGCAGGTGCCTGGTGCCCGGGTGCGACGAGGGCGGCGGGGCGGCCAAGTACGCGGAAGCGCGGGTGTTTCTATGTGTTTGTCCTTGCCTGTCTACCTGTTTGACCTATATAGAACGGCAGCGAGGCAACGCCGAGTGGTCCTTTGCGCAGGTGCCTGGTGCCCGGGTGCGACGAGGGCGGCGGGGCGGCCAAGTACGCGGAGGCGTGGGTGGAGCGCGCGGTGCCGCCGCTGAAGGGGGCGCGGCCGGGCGCCTTCTCGCCCGAGCACTGCCTCCGCTTCGTGGCGCTTGGCAACGCGTCCGCCTCGCACCCCGACGGCTGCCCCGTCGACTTCGGCAACGCCGAGGAGCGCTGCGACCAGTGGGTGTTCGACTCCGAGGACATTTGGACCATCGTCGGGCAGGTAGATTTAGATTTAGATTTATTCAGTCAAAAAAAAAAAAAACAATAAAAACTGTATGTGACGTAGGGGGGGGGAAGTTTCTCTGCGCAGGTGTTCTTGAGTTCCAGAATCCCTTCCCGTCATTTTAACTATAAATGGTTGAAAGATGAGTAAACGTTTAACATAAACAAATTAAAATAAATTTTAAAAATCGCAAGATTAGCAATACTTGAAAAATAGTCATTTTTCGTTTCTGAGTCATAGAAAACGTATTTGCATCGGTACATGATATGCAGGTATGATTTTTCTGCATTGCTAACAAAATAGCGACTCGCCCTTACCTCTACTCTTACCATTACAAGCAAAAGGAGAGTTCAACAAAACGTGCGCGTACTGAAGCTACATTTACGTCCAGAAGCAAAACAAGGGGCATCTCAGCATTAGCTCAATGAATTAGGGAAACTGGACAAAAACCTGATCGAAATGGGGGTCATTGACCCAGAAGCTGAAGTACATTATTTGTTACATATAAAATCTTTTTAAAAAAATTATACAATACAAATGTAAACTAATTCATTATATATCACTGTTTTGTGAAAATAAACATTATTTTTCTTTTGGATAATCAGTATAATCACTAATTGTATAGAAACAGCTATGCAGCAGAAAAGAAGGAACGTTGTCGCGAAGCAAATAAAATTACTTCACTATTGCTGTAAGATACGATACATTCCTTTTCGTCTCTTATAGCTGATTTTTGTAATGTAACTTCTATATCTCTGAATATTAATTAAAATATTCACATTTTTAATGTTTTCTTTATGTAATTCTGTGTCATGTTGTTAGATTTCTTGAACAAACGTGAGCACGTTTCCACTCAGTTAAAAGGTTTTTGTAACCCTTGTTTTAAGATTTCAGACCATAAGACTTCTTTAACAATCCAATTTTTTGTTCATCCGCCAGTCGAACTGTAGAGATTTATGATGTTGTATGGAGTTTTCCGATTTAATTATGTTACATACGCTCCAAGTTCTTCGAGTTTAAAGTCATAATTTTTAATCGTGGATCATCTCTTTCAATTTGAAATAGCAGTTGCCAGTGAAACTCTTCACTCCGGAGTGTTATAATGCGATAATATTAGAAAGAAGATAAGTCTACACGCCTAGACTGTTCAAGGATAATGTGCAGGCATTTGTTATCTTGCTCATTAATTACAGAAGTCAACCATCGTCTACATTCGGGTTAAAACATCTTAGAGTTTTAGTATAGTGTGCGAAAATTAATCGATTAACTTGAAAAGGAAACTTCAAAGAAAAAAGAGATAGTACACACCAAGACACTAAATAGAGACAATGTTTCCAATGCGAATTATGTTATTTTTTTTACTAAATCACTTATTACTGGAAACTTAATGGATGTGTTCCTAGCCCTAGCACTGAAATTACTGCCTATATATAAATATTAGATGTGGTGATCAGTACAAAGCACTCAAAATTGACTTGATTTCACAGTCTAAAAGAATGTCAAAACAGAATTATTGCAGATGTATTATCATGCAAATACATAATACATCTGCAAATGATACATTTGATTTCAATTCATTTCGGATTACTTATCAGAAAGAAGAGTTTTGGGTCTGGAAATTGAAATATTTGCTGAGACTGTCGCCATAAAACAGAAAGAAAGAAAACATGGGAAATCTGGATTTATTTAAAATGCGAATATTTTTATTTATATTTCAGAATCCGGTAGATTTTTAATAAAGTGTCAAATATTAATTATTTTTATTTCAAATATGAAAGTATCTTTTGTGAAATGTATGTCCTTTTTTTTTCACAGTGGAACATCACTTGCTCCAACAACCAATGGCAGCTGTCCCTCGTGGGCACCGTTCACTTCGCCGGCATCTTTCTCGGCACCATCCTGTTCGGCTTCCTGGCTGACAGGTGAGGCACGCTCTCGGCGATATGTTGCTTCGCGATCTTCTATGAAAGTTGACGTCTCACTCCAACGATATATGATAAGATAAGATGCGAGAGATGCTGCAAGGTCAATTCTGTATTCAGTGTATGCACTTTAATCGTGCTGCGACGGCGTCTATTGTTTTCACGACGTTTCCTCGTGCATTTTCAAATATGTTATCGCCACAACTCGAGTTTTTCTTCACTCATTCATTCGTCTGTTTTCTGTTCTTGCTGTTCCCTCTCTTTAATTGACCTGTTCCTTAATTTTCTTCTCTGTCAACCCGGCAGGCTCTCATCTTTCTTCTTACCCCAATATACCAAATATTTGTCTGACTTTGCCATTTTAATTTTTCCCTTATCCGGTATTTGTCTTTATTTTTTTCCTTACACGTATCTAAAGCCACATCTAATTTTGTTTACTTTTACTGTGATATCCCAAAGTGTGTGACATGTCTTAATTTTTTTTTCATTATTTTGTTACTAAACTTTTTTACAAGTTAGAAACCAAACATTATGTTCAATAGCCTTATTTTGCAACGTTCAGACTGTCTCCTGCTGTTCATAGTTCATACGAACAATGACAGGTAATCAAGGAAAGTCTTGGGTCCCGTGTGAACCGTGCGCAAGAAAAGTGAAACATTTCAATTTCATCTCAATAAAATTTTGCATATAAACAAATGTAATGTTTATTATCATTTATTTTGCAGCCAAGAACAATGTTATCCCGACTTCTGTACGATCTCCATTCAATTTTTATTAGTAAAAATATTATTAATTAGATCGCTGGTGAGGTAGATACCTTTTTATTATGATAAATAAATAAAGATGTTGTCTGGTGTCAATACTTTTTATTCAGCTTAATAAAAATTCAGCTGAATAAAAAGACAACATCTTTATTTATTTATCAAAAATATGTAATTTAGAAAACATATTTCCCGACTTTACTAAAAAAATGTCAATTTTGAGATGTGTCACATTTTTGCTGCATCGACGATATGTGGTGTGCGCTTGCACAGGTTCGACAACCGACAACCGGCCACCAAAGTCATCTTCAAAAATTTGTTTAGTCGACTCACAACTACATACACTTGAGGCATCCAGTTGTTCACCATCTTGGGTGGGGATTTTGTTCATTGCTCTTCTCGCACGCCTTGCACGGTTTGCTGGTTACTCCGTGGTCTTTTCCTTTCGTATTTTTATTTGTTCTTTACAATTAGTTTTTGCTGTTGTTTCTACCTAGTCATTTGCTGTGAAGTCATTATCATTTTTGGAGAGTGTTCTCTTGGAGGACTTCTGTTTCCAACATCCCTTCTAAAAACTCTTTGTAATGTAATGTGGTGTGCTCGTGCGCAGGTTCGGGCGCAAACTGGTGTTCATTTTCTGCATCCTGCTAATGTCGGTGACCGGCGTGGCGCAGGCTGTGGCGCCGGACTACATCGTCTTCCAGGTGTTCGTGTTCCTCAATGCGCTCGGCACCTCGGGCGTGTTTCCTCTCGCCTTCATTATAGGTACGGATCAACATTGATCTTGACCATTTCACCGTTAATGCTCTGTGTTTTTATGCGCCCTGCAACCATATCGACGCTTAAAAATACCTCGTATCTTCATTTTTAACGAAAATGAGCGCTTTTTAAAAAAAATCGATATTGTCTCTTGTACAAATAAGGTATAAAAGGTTTTATTGTGTCAAGATATGTTGTTTTTGCATTTGAAAATGTAGGTTGATAGGAATATAAGTAGTACGTAATGAAATAATATGAAAGAATATTTTTTGGTGTTTTGTTAAATTACTGTTTTGAAAATACGAGGTATTGGTATTTAAGCTTCGGCATCTTTCAAGCACTTCGAAAAAGTGAAGAAGGAGTTATGATGAAAATGAAATTATTGCGTAAAAAAACTGTAGTTGCGGAAACTCAGCTTTGTTTTACAATGCGTTATATAGGAATTATAATTATTTCCTTTCGTGAAGAGAGATTACTTTCACTTAGGGCTATGTGATTATTTTAACCATAAGATATTATGGTTTATACTTTTTCTTGAAATGGGAAATTTACCCTTTGCTTGTAAATTCAGTAAATGTGTCTGTCTTCACCAGGGGTGTCCTACATGCAAGGCCTCAAGGGCCACAACTAAAACATGGTTGCGGGCCATATTTTCATTACTCGTGCGATACACTACTGACATCCCCGTTCATTGCCCGACTGCTCTGAAATAGGAGGGGGTGTAACAGAGCCCTGTGTGATATCAGGCCGTAGCATGCATAACACAGTGTAATACACTGGGATGATTTTAAATTTCTGAATTTACTAGAAGCAAAAATCCTTAGATCTAAACATAACCTATTTTGAAATAATTACATGAGTCGTCATTGCCAACAATATTATTTATTACAACTAGTGATGATGGCTAAGCCATCTAAAGCTACTATTGTAATAAATAATATTGTTGTCAATGACGAATCATATAAACATTCCATTGTAAATGCCAAATAAAAAAACACACCACAATACCAATATTCTAAAGCTAGTCAAGCTCAATTGGTGAACCTTTGTAACAAGTTATCACTAAAATTTTGAAAGTACGAACTAAACATCTGGTTCGTATCCGAGTGCTTACACAAGAAAGTGACACCAAAATTTAACAATATAGGTAGTTGTTTTTGTGGCTTCCATACAGCAGAAAACTGATGATGATTGCCAGGCCATCGAAAGCTGGTATTGTAATAAATAATATTGTTGTCAATGACGACTCATACAATTATGTAAATGCCAACGAAAACTCACCACAATACCATTAATTAACCTATTTTTACATTAAAGGCGTTGTTGACTGCGGCAGAGGGCATGCGCTGGACGTACAGTGCTCTCGCCCGAAATAGATGCAAGGAATTCTCACTTTTGATTAATAACCTTTCGCGGGCCACAATAAATGGTACCGCGAGCCGCATGCGGCCCGTCGGCTGCTAGTTGGACAACACTGGTCTACACTAAGCCCAATGTTCAACAATTGTTTTAAAAAAAGTGTACCTAATCCATTATTTCCATTGTTCCATTCAACAATTGTTCCAGTGTACCTAATCCTAATTCCATTATTTCTATGTAAATAAACTATTTTTATGCGTATAAAATCGGTGTTCTCTCTTAATTTTGTCAAATTGTTTCCTGAGACCTGATGCTCCGCCAATACATTCAGAAAGTCATTTAGATGTTCGAAAAAACGCGCAGCCGTTACTTAATAAATCCGGTCGTAAGTGACAATGACAAAAAACTGTAGTGCTCCTGCTTAATCCATGCTGTCACTTTTTGCTTACCAATTCCATCAGTTCACAAATTCGTATTTTTTGTCCAAAGAAAGATTTTCTCGATAATAACCTATCCGCTAGCTGATTTGACTTGCCGTTCAACAAGCATGTTCCCGAAAACGAATGATTGCTTGATTGATTAGTGATTCGGTGCGCGTCAACTGATAAGGTCATTAGTTCCGTAAGTGTAGTCCTTTTTTCCCGCGGGTGGTGGCGGTGATCTTTCCCCGCTGTATGGAGAGATCCAGCGCCGACCTACACGTTGGATAGCGGGGTTTTTCCTCGACCACGTATCTCCCACCGCCGCAGCTGCTCTAACCTTTCGACCGGCCTCCCGGCATGTGTGGTGGCGTAGTGCATGTAAGTGTAAGATATGCCAAAGAAGCGAAAGAACAGCTCGCGAGTGGTCCGTGGCCCATTCGTTAGGTTACTTACTCCAGCATTCGCCTACATGGCATTCGCTATCAAAGTAACAACGGAGAACTACCGATCAGAGCAGCCGGCCGCTAAAATTACTCTCCAAACAGCGGGTGAATTTGACCTAGATATCTAGTTAGTGTCGAATATTCTGCCACCGTCAGAACTCGAACCTATGACATCCCGGTCAGAGGCACTGTAGTGGCATCAGTTGATGCCCTGGGTCTCCCTTGCCGGTGTGCCGATTTGACTCCCTGTTCCAGAAATAAGTTCCCGAAGCACCAGATTCAAGATTCTGATCGTTTTGGAAGATTAATTTGTTTAACACACGGCTGAGCAGTAGCGAAGCGTCTTAGCAATGATTTAAAACCTTTTGTTTGTGATTGTGCAGAACACGTTGATGTTGAAATATTGCTCTGGAAATGACTCATTGTTTATTCATTACTCAGCGTGTCCGCAACATTGGCGAAAAACGCACGAAACGTATTAAAATATTACATTTCTGATTACTTTTTCCAACATTGTACATTCAAATAAAGATACATCTTATCGTGACTGAACGCTTCGTCGTTACGGTAGCTCTGAAACAGAGCGTCGCGTATGAATGTGTTGAAGAAACCAGTAAAGAATCTTTACACTTTAGTTTTATCTGCCTACACAATCTTCAGCTTCAGTCAGCATAAAATCGGCTAACATCTTGTTAAAATGTTCATGAATATTATTTGCATCGCTGGAAGTTTCGTTGGGTTTCTTTCGTATTGTTACGCAATAAAAAAGAAAAATGTGGAGTATTAGTATGTGATGTAACAACTCGAAATTATTAATTATTGTGGAAGAGTAATGAGTTATCCGAATAAGGTTATGAATATTAATATTTACTCAAATGTTTATATCATTGTTATTGGATGTCGTTAATTTCTGATGCAAGTAAATCAGACTGCGGCTTTCGAATTCCTGATGCAATAGACGCGCCTATTACATCAGGAATTCGAAATGAAAAATAATCAATATTTTCTATATATTATTTTCCGTATCTCTATTAATAATGTGGGTAGCAGAAATCTCGTACGCCTATCGCATAGCAAATATTTTAATGTCTTACGCATGCTTTACATCTCATGAGAAGGTCGACCGAAGGAACAGCACGGTGAGGATGTTTTCTGTAGAGAAGGAGGACTTCCTTTGAGGTGCAACTCAAGCGCCTCCCGTTGCATTTCCTTCCTCTGTAACAGGATTTATGTTCTGTGCAAGCAACTGCCGGAAC